TAGTTAGCATAACTCCCATGAACTCCCCCTTTCTAGCACTTAAAAACTCTTAACTTTTTCCTGTTTACATTAGGTGGTGGATTTAACTTTAATCATTATTCACTGATCCCTCTTAATATAGATTTTTGAAGTCTGTAAGTTAAGAGTACAGGACACTTTTTTTTAATGACACTAAAACACAAAGACATAAAGGTAAAATGACCATTGAAATGGTAACTATTTCAGCAAAAAAAAAATATGAACTAACAGTAGAGAAACATATGAGAAATGATTTATACATAGAGAATAAAAATGTTTCAATCTGATAACAATCCTGCAGATTTAACATCTGTTAAGTTAAAAATTGCAATTTCTTTAAAAAGGCAGCTGTAGATTTAAAGATTAATTAGAAATTTTAATATGTGGACTTACAAATTTTAACTTTTAAAGTAACAGTTAAATGTTTTTAACATAAAAAATATTAAGAAATATCGTCCTTCTGATTTTTCCTGATATTTCTTTGCACATTGTCTAATGAGCAATGTCTAGTAAAATTGTAATTATTCATTAGCATGAGTTAGGAACATTTCTAATAAGTATTTTAGATTAGATTACATATGAATTTGGTAGTCTCTAAACTAATGCCAGGTATTCTATATGTTCAGCAAATATTTCTTTCTGAGTCAAAGTAATTTATTTTAAACAATTTTTATAGCACATATAGAGTATAGTGTCAGTTTAGCGATGGGGAATTATGTAACCAGAAATACATATAAAGTTGAATGTAATCTGCTTTAGTGTTTTAAAAATTTGTTCAGATTGATTGTTACAGAAACAAAGCATGAAAAAGAAGCAAAACTAATTACCTCTTTCCAACAGAATCATTAATGCAAATTTGGGAGTAATAAGTATATGGAGCAGAAAACAAAAGTAAAAAAAAAAAAACAACCACTCCTGAAATCAACCATTCTAATAAAAAGTGTAGTTATAATCTAAATTGTGAATGATTTTTAAACGTTTAGTGAATAATCTAAATAAGTGTTAAAACATGAAATGAGTTTATAGAGTGGCTTTCACCTGATCAAAGCTTCAGTTCCATGATATAGACATATTTCTGTGAAATGAAAATGTCCTCAAGCTTTTAGAACTAAAAACTACTTACTGTGTTTACCTGGTGGGAAGTTATAGTGAAGTACCTCCAGGACATAACTGTCTTTATTGTGGAGCAGGATTAATCAGACAAGTTTTATTCCTATGACATTAATTATTCAAGTTCCATAACATGACTTGTTCTGATTTCCCGGACTCTGTATTAGTTTGCTAGGGCTGCCGGAACAAATACCACAAACTGGCTGTCTTACGCAACAGGTATTTTATTTCCTCACAGCCTGGAGGCTAGTAGTCGAAGTTCAAGGTGTCCAAGATTGGTTTCCTCCTGAAGACTCTCTCCTTGCTTGCAGATGGCCCCATTTTGACTTTGTCATCACATGGTCTTCCCTCCATCTTAAACTGCTCTTCGTATAAGGATGCCAGTTATATTGGATGAGGGCCCACTCACATGACCTCATTTTATCTTAATTACCTCTTTAAAGGCCCTATCTCCAAGTACAGTCATTCTGAGGTACTGGGAGTTAGGACTTCAATGTATGAATCTAAAGGGGATACAATTCAGCTCATAACTGATTCCAACATCCTTTGGGTTATAAATGGAATTCATAGAAAGAACAGATTCAAGAGTAGAATATGCTTATTTAAGGCAAAACTGATATTCTTGCCTATAGGACACTGATATTTCTCCCAGGAGTGATAAATTACTATTTTAACAATTTATCACTATACATTTGATCAATGTGAATCTGTCCCTGGGAGATGCACTTCCTTCCAGGGCTCCAACATATCTGAACTTTGAGCCTGCTTTGTAAAAAATCAGTATTTCTTGTTTTATTTTCCATCTGAAGAATCCACGACCAGAATTACTGTGCTATCCTAGGTTCCCTAGAGCCTGCTATAAACAACAACATTCAACTGCTGCCACTTTATTGGGGGGCACTATTTCGGGGAAGCATAAGTTAGGAAAAGATGGAAGTGAGGCAGGCAGTGGAGAAGGAAGTACAAATACAGGTGTTATTGAGCTGGCCAAAGCTTTATAAGGGCAGTTCATTCCTAGGTCTTTTAGAACATTTCCTGGAGGCCTATGATTATTGCACTTCTCAACAGCCCATCTGGGGGAAAGGAAGGAAGAATTTATCCACCAGCTCCCTCTGGGGCTGCATCTCTTTGGTCAAAGTTCTCCCCTCAAGTAGGGTTGCAGATTTAGCAAATAAATAAATACATATTAGATAATAAATATTCCCATGCAATATTAGTAACAGAATTACATTAAAAAGTTATTTGTTGATTTTCTGAAATTCCAATTTAACTAAGTGTCCTGTATTTTACTGGCAGTTCTACTCTCAGGACATGAAACCCGTGCATTGCCAGGCAGCTTCAGAGGAAGCCTGAGTCTCTACAGACACTGTCCACAGGCACCAACGTTGATTTCTTCTCCTCAGTACAGCAGTGTGGCAGTGGTGGTGATGGTGGTGGTGAAGAGGGCAGCTCCAAGCCACTGGCCAAGAGGCAAGGCCAGAGGTGGAGGTAGTGATGGGTTGGGGTGTGGGCAGGAGGATTGCAGGCATGGCTACATGGATGTGGGTGATAAATAACAATTTTCTGTAAAGATGAATCAATATTCATGATCATATCTTGTATCTGTAGGACCATAATGTATTACTCACTGGAAATATAGTAGTGAATAAAACAGAGTTCCTGCAATCTGGGCGATTACAGAATATAGCTTGAATATTGTGTTGAGTCCTGGTTTAAAAAAAAACAAGAACCTTAATGGCTCAGACAATGTGGTTGAGTGTCAACCCATGAACCAGAAAGTCACAGTTCGATTCACAGTCAGGGCACATGCCCAGGTTAGGGGTTCTATCCGCAATAGGGGTGTGCAGAAGGCAGCTGATCAATGATTCTCTCTCATCATTGATGTTTCTATCTCTCTCTCCTTCTCCCTTCCTCTCTGAAATCAGTAAAAATATATTAAAAAAAGAATAAATGCTAGTGAAAAGAAATGTTTGAGAATACCAACTCATTAAATAGATGGTTTTCTAAATTATTACTTTGGCAAAAACAAACAAACAGAATCCACAGGATTCCAAAACTATTACGTGTATTTTTTGGATACTTCTAAAAAGAAAAAAGTATTAGATATCCTCCATAAAATATTGAAATGATTATTCAGTAAGATAGAAAAATTCATTTATATACAACATTTCAAAAAAGAAGTTAAAACACATTAAATAGTACTTTTTATTTAGGTGTTTATAAGGCAGATCTATGAGAATGATATAAAAACATAGCATATAATTTGATAGCAATAATTTGGTGATTACAGAGTTTTAGCAAATATCTATTACACAGTTATAAAGAAGACTATTTTCTAAGCGGATACAAAATATTTAATCAAAGATCAAGACAAGAAGATGAGTATAATTAATTAACAATGGAAAACCGATTCTAACATGAACTGCACATTTTCCTTTAAAAACTTTTAAAGGTAAGAATTATTGCATTCTACTTTATTCAAACAGTGTTGAACGGTATCCTGACAAAAAACTGAAGGCTGGAATGGGTTGACTTTGACTTCGTATAAAGAAACCCAAGTTTACAATGGCTTAAATACTGGAAAAGGCAATCCAAGTAATGTAGCAGTCAAGATCTTTTTAGTCTCCAACGTGCCTTCCTTAGGGTGTGGCCTTGGTACTCTTGGATTTGTCAAGGCTCCTGTTATTTCCAGAATTCCCGCAGCAAGACGGAGGAATAAGATAAAGAACACATGCTGGAAGCCCCTTCCAGGAAGTCACTCATACATTCCCCATACATCTCTCTGGACAACACTTAGTCACATGGGACCACCAACTGCAAGGGATTTGATAGACAGCAGCTTTTAAAGAGGCAGGGTAACTATGTAGTCCCTGTTCAGTTGGATATCTGAAACACTATGTAAACTCTGTAAAGAAAATGTTAAGAGAATATTTCCTAGAAGTTGGCATTATGGAAATCATACAAAAGCCCCTGTTTTGGTGATTTACCTTAGCCAGGCTAGTCACTGGGAGTATCCATGTAGTCTGCCCTAATTTTGAATGGCTGCATGTATGAAAATCCAATGATTTGGAAAGCAAAAATCTCAGTATGCATATGTGTTAGGCTGAACTAAGCATTGTTTTGGTATCATATTAGCACTTTACAATTTTTCACATTAAAAACATTGAAGAACTTCTCATTCCTGTAAAATTCAGTTCAAACGTAAGAACAGATTGTGTTTCCACTAAAATTATTACAGTTCCATTTAGAGCCATTACATAGACAGAATATACACCAGAATGTGTTTTACTGACATACTGACTTATGAACAATTGAAGGCAGAGCATCTCCTTTTCTAGATGACACATCACAAATATTAATCTTAACCCTGGACCAACGTGTATTATTTATAATACATTGGCACTGCTCTAAGTCATGAGTTTACAAAATAATTTCAATAACATTTTAGGCTCTTTACTTATTTCAAAACAGATTTTATAGACTGACATGGGTTCAGTGTTTATATTATTCCTAAAGAAATACTTATGAATATAATTTATGGCCCTTTATTTAAAATGTCTCATTAAGAAACCTTAAAATTCACAAATAAACCTCTTTCGGAGGAACTCTCTCAACAGAATTTATTATGAAATAGTTCAATGGCAAAAGGCAATTAAAAAGAATTAATGTTTTATATTTCATAGAAGATAAACAATACAAAAATATGGATATGATTTATTCTTTAAGCCCTTTTACACAAATGATTTTCATAATCTGACTGTATGAATGAGTATACCTTATGCTACTATTATCAAATTAATTTCAAAAGTAAAATTCCTTAATCAAGTCAGGATTATGCTAATCTATTAGAAAATAATCAGGTAGTTTAACACTGGAGCTCATTAGCCAATCCCATACATAGCACAAAATAATCATCTCTGATAAATACTATAAATATAATTTGTTCATACTTTAAAATATTTTAAAATTTAAATAAAAATCTCTACACATAGGCAATCTCAGCTAAATTTCTATAAATGCTTTGAAAAATATATGTTAGCATGAATATATTCTTATTTAAACATGATCTTAAAAATTATTAATAGCGGAGACATATGACATCTGCACAAAAAAAGCTACGTAGCATGATCAGTCCAGGATTATTTTCTTCTTAGGAAAAAATTACTTGATTTTTTGCATAACTTTAAGACTGGATATGTTTTCTACATTCTTATAATTTTTCTCAGGGGCACTTCTCAAAGTACAGATTAGAAAACAAATTCCTATTACTTTGAAGCACCCACCACTTTTTCACATCTAGCAAGAACAGAATTCAGTCCTACTTCTGAGGCCAGAGTAATGATTTTTTATAAAAGTGATTATGAAAAAAAGTGATGAAGAAAATAATCAGGTAGGAAATAGTAAAATAAAGCAATTAAATGTCAACTGAATAAAACAACTAAGTCAATATTTTTGCATTTTAGAAAGGCTTTGAAATATTTAGAGTTATAATATACTACCTTTATTCTGAAACTTCAAAACTAACTTTATCGTTGTAAAGGAGAAAAGGAGATACCATTTGAAACAAGTTACATCTTATATATATATTTTTTTTATATAAACTTTTTCGTATTTCCAAAGTCACCATTTATCTCTAAGAGTGATCATTTTATTTATAATACATTGGCTACTCAATATATATGTGCAACAATATACTTCCATAGTCATCTAACTTTTAAGAATATTTAATTGTATTTTCACATGAAATCGTGAACATATGGTCTTAAGACAGTGAAACTTAAGGAACAAGAAAGTATTGAAAATATGCTAATTTCACTAGTCCACTACAATAGTTTATGAGTGTTTACCTTTAAAAGTTATCACCCAATTGAATTCCTACTAAGAACTAACAAGTAAGTAATTATCAAGAGGGGAATACTATAATTATTATAATTAAAATAAAGAAAATGGAGAGCTCAATTAAAAAGTAAAAGACATTAAACTTCACTAAGAAGAGAACATCAGAGAATCATGAATGATTTACCAAATTGGC